AAAAGAAAAGAAAGTTAGTCTCTTGAGAGTATACAATTTAAAAATAAAGGAGGAGAAGAATACATGGAGAGAGCCCAAAATAAAAGGACCTTTAATGAGTAAATAAACAGGAGAAATGAGTGTTTCATAGGAACCAGTGGGGGAGAATATGAAAGTGCACAACAGCCAGAGGTAATTGGTCATAAGGCTCTGGAGTAGCAAAAATGGATGAAATAAAAAATAAAGATAAGAAGGCTTAGCCTTGCAAAATACAAGGGCCATGTATTGTTCTAAGTCAGGAAGGGAAAAGGGAAAAAAAAATTTGTGAAGACACAAACATGTTATAATAAGGCTTCTTGTTATAGCAAGAACACTAAAGTAGTAACAGGTGAATTTGAACTGTACTAGATCAGAAGGTCTGTCTTTTAGTGGCTATACTGTCAATGAGGTTTTTGAACCATAGATTTTCAAGTAGATGTATAAAATGATTCCTGCCTATTACCGTCCCTTTTATCATTTGATATCACCATCAAATAAATAAAAGAGGGATGCCTGGATGGCTCAGTTGGTTGAGTGACTGACTGACTCTTGATTTCGGCACAGGTCGTGATCTCAGGGTCCTGGGATCGAGCCCCACATCAGGCTCCCACTGAATGGGGAGTTTGCTTGTCTCCCTATCCCTCTGCCCCTCCCCCTGTTCGCACTCTCGAGCTCTCTCTCTCAAATAAATAAATAAATCTTTAAATAAATAAATGAAAAGCCCTCAAACTAAGGAAAAGATCATCCGACATCCTGCAGTTTTACTACTTGAAAAAGAAAAAAAAAATCGGGGCGCCTGGGTGGCTCAGTCATTAAGCGTCTGCCTTCCGCTCAGGTCATGATCCCAGGGTCCTGGGATCGAGCCCCACATTGGACTCCCTGCTCCGCGGAAAGCCTGCTTCTCCCTCTCCCACTTCCCCTGCTTGTGTTCCCTCTCTCGCTGTGTCTCTCTCTGTCAAATAAATAAATAAAATTTAAAAAAAAAAATCAAAATTTTCCATGATTTATCTAGAATCTGGTTGGGATGGAGTGGGATCCAGGGAAGCAGGGAAGAGAAACCAATAAGAAATAGAGGATGAACCAATAGACCAGAGCTTCAAGATGATACAGTAGTGAGGACTGATGAGCCGAAAAAGGAAAATACAAGGCTCCTGCAAAATCCAGAGTGTTCCTGGTTCCCAGTCTCTGCCCGCCCCCGCCTATTCTACAGCAAAATAATATTCCAGAAGCACTAGCTGTGCCTCTCTACTAATCCAAATTGGAGATTTCCCATTGACTGGAAAACAACCCAGGTATTCTAGGGCCTCTGTGTTTGGGCCCCAGCACCAACTCACCCTATCTTCAGCCAAACAAACCCTTCACCATCTCTGAAACTCTTTTCTTCCTTTTCTTCAGACTCTCCCTTCCAAATAAAAAACGCTGCCTCATCTATCTTGAAATGTTGTTCATTTTTCACAGCCCCATTTAAGTGCCACCCATTTCATGAAATCTCCCCAATTATCCTAGCAGGAAAAAAAAATCTTGTTGCCTCTCTTTGCCGTAGCACTTCCTACTTAGCACAGCACCTTTTGTCCTACAGTATAGTTACATATGCATGACTTGGTTCCTGTGTTTCCAAGCACTAGAGGGCAGGGTCTCTGCATTATTCATCTCTATCTTCATCCTAGGAGAGTTTCAGAGGGCAGAATTGTCAATTCTAGGAAGTCAGTGTTTGCTAAATTAATTTGAATTAATTCCTTTGCAATTTCAACTTAACTGTTTAAAATAAGATATTTTAGAAGATGAAGATAAAGAAAACATACAAAGAGAAGAAGAATGATGGTAAGGAGTAGAAAGAAAAAACAATTTAATGATAAAGAAAACAAAAATTAAGCAAAGGAGTAAGTAATAGGGAAAGAGTGATAAAAAGAATCATGGAGAAGAGAAAGCAAAAAGGAAACAGAGTGAAACTTCCCTCAAGTTCTGAGACTAGAGACTAACATGCCCAAATGGAAAAATACAGGAAAGGAATTAAAAACTAGCTTAAATATTGAAAATTCCAAAGCGCCCTAGCCACACACCCAGTAGAAGGCTTTTAGAAAGAGGCTAATCTCACAAAGACAAGGACCTGAGTTTTCCTTCTCAGAAAATACTTGACAGAAAGCCTCATCTGCGATGGAGAATGGCAGATCCTTAACTAGAAACCAAAGTTTTCCCCATTCTTTCCACTTCTTTTCTAATGAGACATTTCCCTAAATGGTATGCCTCCCTTACTTACCTCTCCACCTCTCAGCTGTTCCTGCTCCAGGCTCAGTGATGCAACATAACTTTCGGTTTCTATCTCCTATTCCCCCTGAGTCCAGCTCATGGGGGGAAGAAGTTGTGTATTTTTCTCTGTATTCCCAGAACTCTGGCTAATGTTGAAAACATAACAGAAGCTGAGGAAGTACTTTTTGTTGAATGAAACAATGGATATACAAATAACCCAGATATCAAGGTTTTCTGAATCATTCAGGAAGATGTGCGTCCAATGAAATAAATTAGAATATTTGACCTCAGCAATTACTTCAGATTTTTTCTGCTCAGTCATTTATTATAATAACTAATTAAATGGTCAGTGTAGGAGGAAAGAACATGCAATTCCTGCTTCTTTGGCAAACAGTGGCTAAATTGCATATTTCTGTTTTCTTGGTCCACATAGAAGTTGTGTTCCACCACCAAAACCAGATACTGTTACCAACTCTGGAGTGGATGTTTACTGCCAGACTAAATCTTTTTTTTTTTTTAAGATTTTATTTATTTATTTGACAGAGAGAGAGAGAGAGTGCATGAGCAGGGAGAGGGGCAGAGGCAAAGGGAGAAGCAGGCTCCCCGCGGAGCAGGGAGCCCAGTGCGGGGCTCGATCCCAGGACTCTGAGATCATGACCTGAGCCGAAGGCAGACGCTTAACGGACTGAGCCACCCAGGCACCCCTGCCAGACTAAATCTGACCTAAATCTACATACTCTATGTGCATCCTAATGTCATTTACACTCCTGTGTGCCTCTTGGATCGTGCCTGACTCTTCCACAATCATGGTTCGTACCCTTGAATATGTGACACTGAATACCTCTCTATCCCTTTTTTTTTTTAAGATTTTATTTATTTATTTATTTATTTATTTGACAGAGAGCATGAGTGGGTGAAGGGCAGAGGGAGAAGCAGGCTTCCCGCGGAGCAGGGAGCCCGAGGCGGGGCTCCATCCCGGCACCCCGGGATCATGACCTGAGCCGAAGGCAGATGCTTAACTGACTGAGCCACCCGGGCGCCCCCTCTCTATGCCTTTTAAAGACCAACACAGGGGCGCCCGGGTGGCTCAGTCGTTAAGCGTCTGCCTTCCGCTCAGGTCATGGTCCCAGGGTCCTGGAATCGAGTCCCACATCGGGATCCCTGCTCCGTGGGAAGCCTGCTTCTCCCTCTCCCACTCCCTCTACTTGTGTTCCCTCTCTCACTGTGTCTCTCTCTGTCGAATAAATAAATAAAATCTTTAAAAAAAAATATAAAGACCAACATAAGTTCCCTGCAGAATATTTTCAAACCCTGCCCATTGACTCAACTACTCTTCTCAACTCTTTCTCTTCTGAGTGCCCTCTTCTCCTGGACCACAACTAAATCGCAGTTTGAAATCTTCAGTGGTGATTTCAAACTCCGATTTAGTACCAGAAAACATCTTAGTCGACAAAACACAACAATATGATTGCATCTGTTTTGCCTGTCCTTCTCACCCACCTGTTTTCTAGCAGACCTGAAATAGCAGCATCCTCAGAAAACTCACATCTGGCATGTGGACCTATTTGAAATTCCCCCAGAGTGAAAAGAGATAGCTAATTAGCAATACAGAGGGTAGTCAAAAATGGTACCACATAGCAGAGGGAAGACCAATATGATTTCAGTCTGTGCTGGCAATGGTCTCAGAATAAGACTGATTTTCCCAGAGCAATGTAAGAGGAGACACTTAATGAGTCACGTAGGGGAAGAACTCCCTCATGAATAAATAAGTTTTATCAGGTTGTTGTGGTTTTGTTTTTGTTTTTGTTTTGTTTTGTTTTTTACCTCGGGGCTTGAGATGAAGATGAAGTCCTAAGATTAATGAAAATATCTTTTGATTACTTTTTTTTAAGTAGGTTCTATGCCCAGCATGGAGCCCAATGAAGGGCTTGAACTCACAACTCCAAGATCAAGACCTGAGCTGAGCTCAAGAGTCAAACACTTAACCAACTGAGCCACCTAGGCGACCCTCTTTTAATTGCTTTTTTACTGAAAATCATCTTTACTGTTCTCCCATATGTATACATATAAGACAGACACAAACACACAAAATTGGATATTTATTTTCTAGATATATGCATTTGGACAGGTTGCAAAAAGAAAAACCAGTATATTCTGGGGTTTAGAAAATACAACAATCCAAGGGGCGCCTGGGTGGCTCAGTGGTTGGGCGTCTGCCTTCAGCTCAGGTCCTGATCCCAGGGTCCTGGGATCGAGCCCCGCATTGGGCTCCCTGCTCGGCGGGGAGCCTGCTTCTCCCTCTCCCACTCCCTCTGCTTGTGTTCCCTCTCTTGCTGTGTCTCTCTCTGTCGAATAAATAAATAAAATCTTTTAAAAAAATTTAAAAATACAACAATCCAAGAAAAAGAGCCAACTAAAACATAAAGACTCTTTGTTTTTGACACTATCCTGAATCTACCTATTCATCTATCTAAGGGTCTCATCAATATTCTTACCTCTAAATGTCCGTTGCTCTTCCAAATAAATATTTATAAGATTTTTATGAATATGGTTATATTTCCTGTTTCACTTGTGACTTTTGTAGTATCTAATTAGTCCTCATGACAAAATATTTTTCTTTACATGTTCAAAGACCGTTGATCAGGATGGTAGAGAAAAGAGTGAAAATTTCAAGGAATTCACATCATTTCTAAAAACACTAATTGAGATTCTAATATACCAAGTTCTATTATAGATGATAATTATACAGAAGGAAGAAGAAGAGGAGACATGGAATCTCCCTCAAAGAATTCACAGTCTGTGAATGAGAGAAATGTAAAGAAATATTTTAAATAGAGGATAAATGTAGTATTAAAAGCTCCACATAGGGGCACCTGGGTGGCTCAGTCGTTAAGCGTCTGCCTTCGGCTCAGGTCATGATCCCAGGGTCCTGGGATCGAGCCCCGCATTGGGCTCCCTGCTCCGCGGGAAGCCTGCTTCTCCCTCTCCCACTCCCCCTGCTTGTGTTCCCTCTCTCACTGTGTCTCTCTCTGTCAAATAAATAAATAAAATTTAATAAATAAATAAAAGCTCCACATAGAAGATAAATAATAAGATATGAGTGGAAAGTATAAAAAGGCTTCATCAAAAAGGTAATAGTTGGTAGTTGGGTGATAATGTGACTTTGAGCAGTGACAGAAGGAGCTGCTCATATAAAGATATGAAAATCTAAAAAAAAAGATATGAAAATCTGAAACAGCACAGCATTTACAGAGGCTTGCCAGCAGTTTGCTCATGGAAGGCCATGGTTTGTGAACAAAGCTGAGAATTCTTGGAAATAACTGTGGGCACCTTGGGTTAATGAGAGAAGATGTGACCAAAAATCACAGATCAGCTTCCTGTCAAAGAGCACAGAAGGTGGAGGGAGATTGACCATTTGACAATACATAGCAAAATGGGATTGTGATTCCCCTTGTGTTTTGTTTTTTTTTTTTAAGAAAAACAAAACTAGGGGCTCCTGGGTGGCTCAGTCATTGGGCATCTGCATTCGGCTCAGGCTGTGGTCCCAGGGTCCTGGGATCGAGCCCCGCATCAGGCTCCCTGCTCAGCGGGAAGTCTGCTTCTCCTTCTCCCACTCCCCCTGCTTGTGTTCCCTCTCTCGCTGTGTCTCTCTGTCAAATAAATAAATAAAATCTTAAAAAACAAAAACAAAAATAAACATTTTTAATTGAAGTATAATAAACATACAATGTGGCATTAGTTTCAGGTATACAACATACTGATTCAACAATTCTGTACATTACTCAGTGCTCACGAAATAAGTGTAGTCACCATCTGTCACCAAACAAAATTGTTATGATGTTATTGACTTTATTCCCTATGCTGTACTTTTCATCTCCGTGACTTCTTTATTTTATAAATGGAAGTTTATACCTCTTATTCCCCTTTATCTATTTCATCCATCCCCCTCACCTACCTCCCCTCCCCTCACCTACCTCCCCTCTATCCCCCTTTATCTATTTCATCCATCCCCCTCACCTACCTCCCCTCCTACCACCTACAATAACCAGTTTGTTCTCTGTATTTAAGAGTCTGGTTTTTTGTTTATTTCCTGTTTCTTCATTTGTTTTGTTTTTTAGATTCCACATGTAAGTGAAATTATGTGGTGTGTGTCTTTCTCTGTCTGACTTATTTCACTTAACATAACATCCTTTAGATACATCCATGTTGTCACAAATGGGAGGATATCTTCCTTTCTCATGGCTGAATACTATTCCATCATGTATTTATTACACATCTTCTTTACCCATTCATCTGCTGATGGACACTTAAGTTGTTTCCATATCTTGGCTACTGTAAATAATGCTGCAATAAACATAAGGGTGCATATATCTTTGTGAATTAGTGTTTTCATTTTCTTTGGGTAAATACTCAGTAGTGGAATTACTGAATGGTAAGGTATTTCTATTTTTAATTTTTTGAGGAAACTCCATACTGTTTTCCACAGTGGCTTCACCAACATACATTCCCACCAACAGTGCACAAAGGTTCCTTTTTCTCCACATCCTCACCAACACTTGTTATTTCTTGCCTTTTTGATACTAGCCATTCTGACAGGTGTGAGGTGATATCTCATTGTGGTTTTTATTTGCATTTCCCTGATGATTAGTGATGTTGAGCATCTTTTTCATGTGTCTGTTGACCATCTATATGTCTTCTCTGGAAAAATGTCTATTCAGGTCTTCTGCCCATTTTTAAAATTTATTTATTTATTTAAATAATCTCTACACCCAACATGGAGCTCAAATTTATGACCCTGAGATCAAGAGTCACACACTCTTCTGACTGAGCCAGCCAGGCACTCCTGCCCATTTTTAATCAGGTTATTTGTGATTTTGGTGTTGAGTTGTATAAGTTCTTCATATATTTTGGATATTAACCCCTTATCAGATATATCATTTGCAAATATCTTCTCCCATTCATTAGATTGACTTTTTGTTTTGTTTCCTTTGCTATGCAGAAGCTTTTTATTTTGGTGTAGTCCAAATAGTTGAATTTTGTTTTTG